GATTGGAGTGCCGACTCAACACTCTGAGAAATTCTCAGTGATAATATATGCAAGATATAATATACATATAACACAATCTCAGTTTCCCTTCTCTCGATACCTCCCATTCTACTCTCATACCTCCAATCTCAAATATATATATATATATATATATATATATATATATATAATATTATCTGGAAGAAGATAAGAGGACATTTTGACATCTAGTCCTCTAATATTCTTCTTTAATGGGACATGCCTATGGAATTTACATTCTGTATCACCCCATAATGGAAGTAAGTTTATGACATCTGACTTGCACTTATTTAATTAACCAAGTTAAAATTACACAATATCATCCTCATGGTATGTTTTGGGATTCTTTATGGAATGCTTTGATAATCAAATATTCAACAGCATTTAGTGTGACAGCAAGTGATTCCACCTAATTACTCACCAAGGCAAAGAATATGAGGTGCTGTGATTTCAGACAGTTGCAACTTTATCAAAGAACTACATTAAATGGTTCATACTGCTCAACATGTGTAAGGAAAAGCATACTTAGATGCCCCTTAAGCATTTCATCAGTAAACCAGAAGAGGGAGACAATAAACTCAGAGACAGTCCAGCTAGGCAAGTAGTCAACTCACCTGACATATTCTGAACATTGAAAGAAAATGAACTCAGGGAATACTGCAGAAGAGGGGGAGGAAGGATTGTAGGAGGCAGAGAAGTCAAGGACACAAAGAGAATACATCACACAGAATCAACTAAACAGGGTTCATAGTGGCTCACAAACACTCAAGCAGCAATCCCAAAGCCTGCATGAGTCTGCTAGGTCATCTACATATATATTGTGGTTGTTTAAATTGAGGTTTTCGTGGAAATGCTAACTGTGAGAGTGGGTGTGTCTCTGATTGTTTTGCCTGCTTTGGGGACCTTTTTTCTCCTACTGGAATGCCTTGTCCAGCCTTGATACATGGGCTTGTGCCTAGTCCTTTGTATATTGTTATGCCATGTTCAGTTGAAATCCCTGGGATGAAGGCTTTTTTTCTCAAAGAAAACAAAGGAGCAGTGGATCTAGGAGAGATTGGAGGTATGAGAGGGGGATGGGAGGTGTGGAAAGAGGAGAAACTGAGATTGGGTTATATGGTAGGAGAGATAAATTAACAAAATTAAAAAATAAAATAAAATAAATATGCTCAGGATCATTTATGTAAGATTTAAGTCACAGAAAATTTGTAGATGGCAAAATAATACCAAAATGCACAATGTTTCCCCCTCACCTTGTAGTAAGTATTTTATGTCTCTATGTATGTTATACATCCTAGTTATATGAACAATTTAGATAGTTTAATGCATTTTTATTGTTCTCATAGATAAAAGTCTCTATACTATAAACCAGTTTGTAAAAAATAAATAAATAAATAAATA